AAGGAGCCGCAGCCGCGAGCGGGAGGGAGAGGCGCGGGGCTCCCCGGCAGCAGCGGGGATTCGGCCCGCGCCGCCCACCTGGCCCCTGCCCCCAGCCAGACCCACCGCACTGCCCCGCGGGCTGCAGGGTTGGAGCAGCCCCTCTTTGCTCCCCCCCCCCCCCGTCTCCCTCCCGTGCCAGCCCCTCTTTGCCTGCCCAGTGCCTGGGTGCCGGAGCTGACTCACCAGCTCCAGGATCCAGGCACCGCCGCCACCCACTCCCTCCAGGCTTGCGCCGCCATGCAACTGCAAGCCTGGGAGGGAGGAGGAATGCTGTGTGGTTGGGGAAGAGGTGCGGCCAGGACGGGGATTTGGGGAGAGAGCCAATGGGGGAAGTAGGGGTCGGAGCCAGGGCGGGGGGGCACGAGCGCCAGAGCAGAGGGCAAAATTTCTTGTTTGTCCAGTGTCCCGACCAAACATTGGTCGGGACGCGGGACAAAGAAGCAAATATTGGGACAGTCCCGATAAAATCGGGATGTCTGGTCACCCTAATAGTCCTCAGCTACTATGGCTTTGAATTGCAAGGAAACTGTGTGTGGTCCAGGCTGTTGCGCGCTTTATGCCCTCTCATGGAAGCACAAGGAGGGACAGTACTCATGCGTGGCCCAAATGGACACGGCTATCAAAATAAATAAATAAATAAAAATGTTCTTGTGTGCATAGGGTAAGTAATTGTTTTTCATTATTGTGGTTTTCTCCTCCCTGCCACCACTTACCAGTGAACCAGGCATATGCTTGATTACATTAGAATTATTTGATAGTTCTTTCTAAGGAAAATATTTTGATTTTGTGCCAATTTAGTTGATTTGTATGCTGTTTTCATGTTTTAGACACTCTTTATCCAGCCTGGTGAGCAAGTGATTGTGCTAGTGGCAATATGCTATATATGGGGGACTCATAGCAGAAACAAGCAACTTCTGCTTTCTTCCACCAGATGCCGCCCATTGCCTCTACAGTATGCTGAGTTTGAGTGTATCAGAGATTTGAAGGAGTTATGAAACATTGCTAAGTTTCTATTAAAATAGTTTTTTTGGTCTTGTTAAATAGTACTTTATTTTCTTAATTCAGTTCCATCTTTATTATCTGAAGCTCCTTATCTGAAACAGGGTCATGTTCTCTGATTTCTACTCATATAGGGGGAAAAAATTCCTTCAGTAAACTGAAATTTTCTAAATTTTAGAGAATTCTGAATAAATTGAAGTTATCCATTGTCCCCCATTGTATTTGGATAATCAAGGTCGAATTTTGCATAATGTTCAGGTGTGTGTACCAGGAAACAAAATATTATCTTGCCTTTTAAAAAGTTAAAGGAATTGTCAGTGTTTACTGGAAAGCTTTCTTCCCCAGACTTCAGGTCTATGTTTGTTTCACATGTAATTGGAATATTATACTCACTTACTTATTTTAGGCAAAACTCTCGAAGTCCCTGCCTGGACCTTAAAAAGCTTTAGAACATTATACTGTATTATGCTTTTTTAGGAGTTATGGGGCTGTGTTAAAAATGTTTAAGCAAGCTTTGGAGTCAGTGGTTTTTCCTACAGATACTACTCTGAGGTCAGCATAATTATGTATAAGCAATAAACTTTATTCTTTCCTATAATTTGTTAATGCATTGAAATTTAACTTTATTTATAGTTCAGAATGGGAATGTCTATATCCTGAGCAATTAAAAATTTTTTTTGTGTCTAGTAGACTGTTCTGTTGCTGTTTATTATTTTAATATTTTTATTTCTAAAACACCTATCCATGTTGCTGGGTTGGAGAGGAGCTTTCTGAGCACTGCTCTTAGCCAGGTAGGTGGAAGCTATGATTGTACAATGTTACATGTTTACACTCTCGCTCACTGTTGCTGCCCCAGAATGCTTGTCTTCCTAATTTATGGACAAGACTGTCTATCATAATTGTTGCTGTGTATAATCTCTTCTCATTATTTATTTATAATAAAATGAGTTTAGAAAGAAGAAATGGAGGAAAATCCTAGATCCATTTTCACTAACAGTCATTCTCTGCTTTGTCCCTCCTGTGAATCCTCCTTGGCACATACCTAGAGTTACAGGAACAAAATAATGTCATTGCTAAGATGTCTGGTCATGTTCTTCAGCCTTTTAAGAACTTACTCTGGAAGACGTTTTAAACACTTAACTATAGGAAAATCAACTGTTTAAGCTAATCAGTTTCTCCAAATATTGGTTTTTTACCTTTATTTCATTTATTTTCTTAAAGGTTCATGAAGAATTTATTAATAACATGGCAAATACTACCGTTGAAAGTTTGATACAAAAATTTGCAGAGTCAAAAGGCACTGGCAAGGAGAGACCTGGTAAGAGACTATAAATGCAAGAAGAATTGGAAATATAAATTTTAGAATTTGTGGCAAGTTTGCGCATCTAATACAGGTCAATGATTTTGTATAATGTACAGTATGTTATTAATGTGTTTATAGTCGTCAATTTTCATACAGTAATCTGTAATTTTTTATTAGTGTATCATTACTATGACTACCATGAGTTTCTGGACATATTGATTGACAGTTGACTTAGCTGTACATGTAGGATATTTTATTGATGTAAGTGTTGTCAGAGGGGGTTTGACTGTAGCTGTGTTTGCACAGAAAGAGGGAGAGAACAAAATCTTATATTAATTAAATTTTAGTGTTGAATGGTTAATCACTGAAAACTATTGTCATTTAATCTCAAAGTTTAAAGTTCTCTGTACTTTCTTACCTCTTCCCCTTTGTGCTTTTGCATTACAGTTTAATCACACAAACATATATTTATCAAATTCAATATAATTTACAACTTGCCCTAAAACTTTAGATATATGATTTTACACTTACACTAATTTATCTGTGGTAATAGTTCAGTATAACTTTATTAACTACACTTTTATTTCCAAAATTATATATTTTAGTACTCATGTGTGGACACTCTGGTTCTGCCTCTGTGCCCCCTACCATTCAGGTGTGGCATCGTGGGTAGCCCTCCTTTAGATTCCCCTCACCTGGGTTTAGACAAGTCCAAACAGACCACCTGTGTGTTAAGAGCAGCCCCCCTTTTCAGAGGATCTCATTTATTGGTAACGAAGATTAACATAAACATAAGCAAGACCTTGTTCGTGTATCTGTAGAAAATTCGCCATCTTGGGATCAGTCCAACTAACTTCTTGGTCCAGTAGCCAAGGAGCACTCTAGGCCAAGCTCCTCGTCTGGAGCCAGGACTTCTAGATTGCTCCTGCTTTCTTCCCTTGGAGCTCAGCTGCTGTTTTTTTCTTTCAGCCTGCTCCTGTTCCCTTGACCTAGAGAACAATCTCAGGTTCCTTCCTTTCAGGGTATTCCTGTTCCCTTCATCTGGGGAGCAGTCTGTCTCTCTCAGGAACCCTCTTAATTCCTTCCCCTGGGATACTTCTGTTTCCTATCTGGGAACTCTCATGCCCTGGGGTTGCCCTCCTTCCTAAAAGCCCCCTCAACTCAGAGGAACTTCCTCCTGGGAGTATTCTCCCTGACTGAGCTTAAGAAGCCTTTTTATGGAGTGCAGGTGCTCCTTTACTATTGACCATTAAACAGTCATTTGGGGCAGCCGGTTACTCCAAAGTGGGTCTTCACAAGGGCCTTCGTGGGCAATCTAGGCCCTGACTCCTCTTTTATGGGCCAGTTGCCCTATGAAACAATGCTTTATATATTTTCTGTTTCACCAGCAGCACAGCCTTCCTTAGGGCAAATATGTAGTGGAGTTGCAACCCTGTGCAGTAGGCCACAATACTAATCAAATACGGCCAATCTGTCTCCATCTATTGAGGAGCAGATGGACTAAATCTGAGTGACGCTTCATTCTGTTTTAGCCCTTTAAACATTGGGAAATATGGAAATGGCAAAAAAATGTCAAGATTGTCAGCAAAAACAACACATGCCTAAACATAATCTATCCTTGGAAATTTCCGGCTGCGCAGTGGCAGTAAATCCACATAGACTGTGCTGGAACATTTTACGGGTAGGCTTGGCAGAATTTGGTTTTGGTTTCAATTTCAAAGTATTTTTTATTTTATTTTTTAATTTTGAACTATTTTAATTATTACAGTTAGGGATAGGGTTTTAGGGTTAAGTCAGTGCTGACAGCAGAGCTACAGGGGGCTCCCTGCATGGCATAGAGGCTCAAGACATTGGAGTGCAAGGTGTGGGGGAGGCTGCAGTCCTGTCCTAGCTTAATAGAGACCCCCACCAGGGCTGCAAAAACAAAGACGAACCTCAGGCTGTGGGGGAAGACATCCCACTGCTGAACAGTTCCTGGCCTGGGATAGTCCCTGAACTTCTGGCTGAGGGAGTGAGCAGGGCCCTAACAGCAGGGCTGATTACGTTGGATACCTGCAGGCACAATGTGCGGAGAAGGCTGTGGTCCTGGTGGGGTAGAGCAGAGCCCTGGCCAGGGTCTCATCATTCTCCTCCCAGCCCTGGCCGGGAGATCTCTGTTCCCCAGCAGGAACACAGCCCCCTCTGCACCTTCAAGCTGCAGTAATCCAGTGTCACCCAGCCCTTTGGCTGTGTAAGGAGCCCTCTGTAGCCCTGCTGTCTGTCCCTGCTCCCTCACTCCCATGACAGCAGCGCTGCAGAGGGCTTTTCCACAGAGCTGGTGACACCCAATCCCTACAGGCACAAAGTTGTGGGGAGAAGGCTACACTCGCTTAACTGTTATTGTTGGATATTTTCTTGTCAATTTCAGTGTGAGCAGAAATCTACATTTACCAACATCTATCCATTTAAATCAGATCCTGCCAAGCCTGTTTAGAGGGCATATGTTTTTGATTGCAGCAAGTAGATGCTCATTCAGGGAAGCCATACCACCACAGAAGTGCGTGGCTGTTGCCCGGTGGAAGCTAGCAATGCAAGACTTCTGTAGGTCAGTTGCAAATCCCTTTGGAATTGGAAAGTCTGCTGGCAGGGTTGTGTATGTGCAGGCAGTTAACACTGTGTCCTGCCTATGGGTGGTTGCCATAAGCAAAGTTCCGGAAAATAATAGCTGACTGTCAGAGGATGGGATTTCTGAACTGAGCTGGGGCCATTGATGGCACCCACATCCCAGTATTTTGCCCGCCAAAAGGGGCAAGTGAGTTTGTGAACCAAAAAGGTTCTGCAAGGCTTAGTGGACCTCAGAGGCAGATTCATGAGTACCAACATGGGAAACACTGGAAAGGTTCATGACACCAAGATGCTGAGAAGATTGGGATTGTACTTGAAGGGGCAAGGAAGTGACTTCGTTCCCTAGAAACTACATGGTTCTCTATGGGGTGTCTGTGCCAACTTGTTTTGGGGTACCCTGCATACCTGCTCCTAACTTGGATCATGAAACCATATCCCTGCATCAATGACTCTGGGAAAAGGGAATTCAGTTACAACCTCAGAAACTGCAAAATGGTTGTGGAGTGCACATTTGGTAGGCTGAGATCTCATTGGCGCTGCCTATGCACCCGTCTGGATCCCAGTGTGGCCAGTGCCGTTAATATAATCACCACCTGCTGTGCACTGCATAATGTTTGTGAAGGTAAAGAGGAGTGCTTCCATCCTACGTCGGCACAGGACAAGTCTGGTTTACAAACTTTATACAGGCATCTAGATACCACCCATGTGCCCACTCGTCCTGGTTCCCGGCAGGCAAGAGAAGTGATGCCATGTGTTTGCACCTCTTGGCACAGCGTGAAGGCAGAGGGTGATATCTGCCTGTGCTGAGGGTTACTTTCACACCCTGTGCAGCTGCTGGAAAAGCATATGAGGGAACATTGGCACATACTTGTGGAGCTACTTACTGTTGTGAGGGTGTTGTTCCCCTATAGCAGACAGTCATTAGTTTTTCGTTCATGTGACTATTCTCCCATTACTGATAATTATAGTAAGGCACCTCCCTCGGATTATCACATTAGGGTTAGGTTTGTGCAGTGGAGGTTGGCAGCAAAATTGTAATGCTGTCATTGTGCAATTCTTTAGTCTTAAATGGTCACACTTATTTGCATACCTCGGTTATTGGGAGCACTCAGTTGGTCTTTGTGACCTTCTCTACATTTGTTTTCAGGATTGGGGGGAGGGGTGCACTTTTCTTTTTTAAGTGTTCATTGTCAACGGTGCTAACCGCACTTGGTGGCTGTTATGGAATACAATCTCAACGTTGAAACAGGTCAGTGTTTTTTTGGAGGGGTGGGGGGACATTTAATCACTAGGTAGTGGCAGATGCCTGTATTGTTATTTGAATTATTTCATTTTCCTGCATCTGAACCAAGCCATAAAGATGTTTGTTTACCCATTGTCTGTGTTGTGAATTCTGCAGCTTTTAGAGCTAGCAGTGCCTTCTGTAAGCACATAACAATGTACTTTCCTCATCCCTCCCATGTATCCTTGAGACTTCGGCTATATCTTAACCTGGGTCAGGGAGATTTGGGTGTGGGGGAGACAGAAAAGTGTTTGCAGTATGATGGCACCAGACATTTATGCTATTCCATTTCATGTGCTGTGCATCATGGGGCCAAATCCCAAATGAGAAAATACCTTACGTTCATCGTACTTAGGAATGAGGGACCATACACTAGTTAAAGAAACTATGACATTTAAGTACTATGGAAGGTGTAACTGAAATATTTTAAAAGGAAATATAAACCAACGAAACATAACTAGACTGAATCTGACAACAATGGTAAAATATTAATGTCTCCACACTCGTCGTCTTGCCCTCTCCCTTACCCTGACAAGGAGGGGAAATTACTGTGGAAAATCATTCTTGGGGACAACCAAGGATGTCTTCTGTATGGTGTTTAAGGGGAGGGTACTCTTGGTGAGCTTCAGGGACTCATTGTTCTGCTCAGGGATGTCCCCAGGCAAGGGGTTTTGGGTACTGGTGTATTTTCGGTGCTGAGTTGTACAGGCTCCTGCTGGTCCCTCAGGGTGGGGATTAGGTCCTCCACCTCAGCAGCGCTCTGGCTGGCAGCCAGAGACAATGGTGGTGGTGGCTCTTCACGAAGAGGTGCAATGGCCATGGCAACAGGCAGACCCCAAACTTGTTCTATCAGTCTGTCCACTATGGAATGCTCCTGTTCACTAAGACATGCCTCCTTCTCCATGAACTGGTTCATCAGTGTCTCTTATTGTTGAAGAGACTGATTTTCCCATGCCCTGAGGGAACTCAAACTGCTCCTGTTTCCTCCTGTCCATGTCAACGAGCATGTCCTCCAGGGTCTTTCTGTGTCTGATTCTGCTCTCTCTGTGGTGGTGTTCCTGTCCTCCCAGAAGAATGATTTCCCTCTCAGGGGCTGATGGTCCTGCCAGTTCAAAGACACGGGTATCTT